AATAATATATATTGTAAGTGTTTATAATGTATATCATTGGCGCTGTATTTTTAGTCAAGCTACTCTTATATATGTATAAACGAGGTGCGCGTGCGCATTCAGAGGTTTTAGTGCTTTTAGTACGTTTTAGATCCAGTTTTATGGTAGGTTGCTGTGCGGTTTTAATGAAGTACGGCCCTTTATAGTCCCAGGGCTCGTCAAATCGAACTTCGTCTGGATATAAATTCACTTTACAATGCTTATTTTGAAATAAATCGAATGGAAATAGATTTTAATATTAAAATGCACTCTCACAATTTGCTTGAACTTGCAGTATCATTTCTAATACTATGTAGATGTAAAAATATTTTATACAATAGTATAAATATTTACATTAATACGTTTTTTTTTCATCTAAATTTCTAAGATCAATATACAGTGGTTCTGGATAATCGAAATTGTAATGAAGCAATAAGAAAAATAAAAATATATTACAATGTTCAGATCTGCCGATCGGTCCACGTTTTCAATAATTTCGTATAAAATTACAATTTGGTTATTAATATTTAACTGAAGTACAAGTTGGAAGGCATTATTAGGGGCTCTTAAACTGTCAATGTATGAACACCCTAAATTATCTTGACTGTAAGCAATACTACGTATGAAAAATTAAATTCAGAAGCTTCTTACAAAAAAGGGTTCCGTCTAATTTTTAGGATTATATACATAAAATTTTTCATAATATTAACAGTGTCTAAAGCTTGAAGTTTTGATATGATATATATAATACTAGCTGAGCCGGCAGACTTCGTACTGCCTCAATCAAGAAATAAATTATGTCTTATTTATTTTTTTGGTGTTTATCTTTAAGCCATAAATCTCCGTGTTCTGAAGTGCGACAGAATGATTGACATATTAGTTAGTTGTCAAATCTAATGTCAAAAAACCATTTGTATGGGAAATAAAAAAGCGCTGTTTTTAGGGTTTTCCCGGAAATTAATAAAAAAAATCAGCTTTTAAACCTTCCCTAAACCTCCACGAACATTTCAAGACTATGATAAGATAAATCCGTTCAATCGTTCTCGAGTTTTAGTGAGACCAAGGAACAGCAATTCATTTTTATATATATAGATTGTGAGAATCAATATAATTAGTACATATTTCAACAAACAGATACGGGTCCCTAGTCTTTGTTCGCATTAATCTCACGTCAATGGAATTCGTTTTGGCAATCCCGAAGGTTGTTATTATTGATTCTGCATGAGGAGCAGCTGCGGCCGGTATCAATACATATCGAACGCTCCGAACCCTTTCATCGGCCACTCGTGCTCGCGGGCGGCGGAACGCTTTGATGCTTATCAATTCATGCTTTAAATTATAATATGCAAGCCATTCAAAATTAATACGAGCTGTTTAAGCTCCCGTGTTGCATCAGTTCTTTAATATAAGGTTTTTGCATTTGGTTTCCGAGAGTTTAAACGTCTCGACTCGCTTATGTTATATTGTTTTGAATTTTATTCTTATTTGTATTTAAGGAAATAGAACGTTACAATAAATTCATGTTAAGTATAAAAGAAAATATAAGCGTCTGTCCAAATTCTGATCATTTGAAATATATGAAAATTTTTAAGAATAATATGATATTCACATCAACTTCCTTCATTTTACCTTAAAAAATATACTTTGACTTCAAATACATTCTTATAATTCAAAAATTATGAAATTTAGTTCAAGGAAAAAGAATTTAAACTGAATTATTTGAAATACGTATATATGTTCATTAATATAGTAGATCAGAAATAACTGTAACGTATATAATAAAAATAGTATGTACGATATAAAATGTTTAATCTTACAAAACACTAACAATTCGTTGTATTGGGAGCAAATTTTTTTTATAGCAATCGATATAAAAGTATAGTTGTGACGCATAACCTCTACTTGTGTCCCACGCTGTCATACAAACACTTAACGTTGCATCCTGTGCTCTATCACCCGTACATAAGGTTGTGTTTAGACAGTCATTCAAATGTATATGTGTTTTATAATGGTTTTCACCTCGCTCCAGATAACAAGTGCGGGTTCACCTAACTTTTAAATGTTTTTATTGAACTGAAAATATCATACATAAAATTATTACGTACATTATAAAGTGTGTCAGTTATTGAAATCATTTTACCGGCGAGGCTCGTATAGATGCAATTCGCTTTATACATATAAAGTTAATGTAACGATTAATGATAACGATTTTCCAAGACGCCAAGGAAAGTGCTATTAAAGTGCTATTATGGTGTCATGTGAAATTATTTTCTTGCTTCGATGAAAGCCATTGATTGAAAGACATGTATTCTCACTGGATGCGCTTTACTCACGTGCAAATATTATACAGTGATGCCAACGAAAACTGATAAAATACATATGTAAGCAAACTTTCAGTTGTATCGTATTGAAATCATTTATATATAATAATGATTGGGTATTTGCGAAACTAATTTAATTAATACGTTACAGGTTTATTATTTTTTAGTAAGACCTTATAATTTTAATATACTAATAAAAGATATATATCGTATAACAGAGATGCCAGTGTTTCTGATACTTGTATAGGCCGTACGTTATTGAACAGCCTCCAACCGAGGCCGCGCACTCCAAATGAAATCTTGTGTCACTGTAATCATATTTCTTTATATAGAAATGTCCAACATAATTACAGGCAAATTCAAATACAAGGCTGTATAAATTAATTATAAGGCGATTTCACGTCGAAACAAACGTCTCATTATGTCAAAATAAAATTATAAACACCAGGTCATGTCTGGCATTAGATATAATAAATTAAATTCAATTAGATCGATAATTTTAAAGCAGCACATATGTCGAAATGATATTTTTTGTTTTTTTTTTTTTTTCAAGTTTGTTTACAGTGGAAATATGAATAAATTATAAGTAATGATAAATGTTCTTAAATAAATTGAGTTTTACAAATGTACAACCAAACTTCATTATCAGACACCTGAGGCTTATCTCATTAAATGTCTCGTTTTTGTCAGTTTTTATCTTACTCATGAGGACCAATCGCTTAGAACAATCCCTATATGGTTATAGCTTTTTGCGTTGTGCACGCGTTAAGACCGAGTAAGCAATTAGCATTATTGTTTTGCTCATATAAATATTTGAACTCCCTAAATGTCCAACGCTACAAATAACTTAAGTTTTTGCAAATAACGAACAACTTTACTTATTTCAAATATTGGTTTGTCTGGTCAAGGACGCGGAGGTCGTGCAGTGAAATAAGTTTGAATTATATAATATTTTTATAATTAGAACATCAATTTACAACTAAATACAAGTGAAATCCCAGTTATCCATTAGCCTAGATTATAAATAAGTAAATGACACAGAAGTGGTATTAAATTAAACTTTTGTTTTTGAAAGAATTGCGATGTCGTGGCGTTTCCCAAAAGTCACCATTGATGTTATCAAAAACATCAATAGAATTTTAACTACAAAAGTCAAGGAGAAGGTAGATTTTATGTAAATCTGCTAAGTCACCAGTTCCTATACCGGCGACAGCATCAAAACTTTCCAGATAAAATCCACATATAGATTATGATAATTCAGTTCGTTTTGCCAGTTCATTATACCAGATATGCCCTGACTTTCCATTTCTCTAAATAAAACAATTCCGAAATTAACATAACTATAGACATCATGACTCATTCAATTAGAGAAACATGTTTTATTAAAATCTATACAATTTTAGACGACGTTTAAAATAAAAAGAAACAAAAATTAAGATACCAATTCTTAAACATAAAAGTTGATAAAGTATATAATGTATACAAACGGTTAACCGGTGAAAGTGGTGGTTTTTACATTATGTGAGACAATGAAAGGCTTATTCGTGGCTTGAACACAGAACTGATAAGGATAAAAGCGAGGTTAACTACGGAAAGGCAGACAAATTCTATTAATTAGACGATTTAGAGTACGACCAAGCCCTAATTCGATTAGTTTCGCTAAACTGCATTAATCTTATCTAGGCATTCCGCAATGACAAGACAAAAGCAATTGTTATCGAACACCGAAAGAATGAAGCAATCTATGTTTAAAGGATCCTTGTTTTATTGAAATGTTATTTTCAATTTATCAATTATTATATATCAAAACTTGATAAATTCTTTTTGCACGTGAATGACCACTCTTGAGTTTTGAATCGAACTTGATTTACTGGGCATGTTGATGGATGTCTATCGCACATTATCTGTGATGATGTTTTCAACGTCATGAACCAACAACGCCTCCACTTGGCTCATTTCTGTGCCCTCAGGCTCTACTTTCACTAGAGATACGAGATCCAAAAGTTTCTACATGATCTAGATGAAATTAAATACTTCTACAACATCAAAAAAAAAATATCTAAAATTATTAGCATTTAATAAAATGTTATTAATCTCCTTTAAACTAGCTTTGATAAATCTATAAAGTAATTCAGAAGGTAGAGCAGAATATTATAATGAAAAATATAGTCGATTGCTCGATGGAATCATTTAAGTGTTAACGATGTACAGAGATAGTAAACACACAAGCAATTATCTCTTAACATTTATTCCTTAAAATTGCGTGTGCTTACGATCGACAGTTGCAATTAAACTCGGTTATACTCTCGCGAACCTTTTAACTATCTACACATAAATTATACACCAACTACTTGTACTCCGCTTTGAAGCTGATATACATTTTAATACAAAAAAATCTATTTTATTTTTATAGTAAAGAGTATAGATTTAAACAAAACTACAGATATTTTCTTATTGTTGGTTGAAATAAGTGTTTGTTTTAATTTTGTCAAAGAAGTTTAACCTTTTATCATCTGTTACTTAAAAACATTTTCGTTGACATACAATAAAAACATGTCATAATGACAGTGTCAATTTTATACGCCTATGGGTTTTTTAATACATAATTATTTTTTATAATTTTTCTTATTATTCTTTTATTTGATATTATCAATATCGAAGATGTCTTCGGATATTTCAGAAGAAGAAGCAAAGACCGAAATAATTTTTGAGACCGTGGTCGAGGAGAGTTCCGAAGAACCTCCAATGGATGAATGGTCTTCTCTCGTAATGGAAGACGCTTCAGAAAATCCCAAAAGGGTTTTGTATGAACAAGGGCTTTACACAATTGGAAGCGGGGAAATATGCGCCAAGTATATATCTCAGTCCGACAGTTCGGTGTTGCGACATCTCTATTATAACTATCCCGCTGTACTTGATCCTGGCATCGAGAAATCTCTTCTTGAACCTGAAGAGAAGGTCATTTATACAGACGATGGACAAAATTTATACATGGCATTATGTAAAGAAATGAATCAATGTCCAGTTCGCTCATTTCATAAAAATTTACTTAGTGACACGATCGATCTGAGATATTATTGTATTAATCCCTATGGGGTTCGAGCCATGGCTATGGCACTTCGTTATAACAGAACTGTTACAACATTAATCTTAACTGATAACTTCTTAAACGATGACGCCTGCTTTCATTTAAGTGAAATGCTAACTACTAATTCGACACTGAAGGAATTGGTTTTGGCTGGTTGCAAGATTGGTTCGAGTGGTGCCAAACAACTTTTTTCAGGATTGCACCTTAACCGAGGCCTGAGAACTTTAAATTTGAACCGAAATAATATAAAAGATCCCGGATTCGAACACATTGCTGCAGCAAATTTTCGAGGCTTAGATCTTGAAAAGCTTTTATTGAGTTACAATGGAATCTCTGGTAAATCTGCCAATATCTTTTCAGAAACTCTTGAAACTTACAATAAATTAACGCATATCGATCTCTCCTGGAATAATCTTTTCGCCCCCGTTGTCGGGACAGTAAACCTTCTCATGCTTCTGGCGCAAAGTAAAGTTTTACAGGAATTGAATTTATCTTGGAATTCTTTGTCTGGGCCCCGTATTGGAACAGCTCTTAAACAAATCTTGAGAGCTCCTAAATTGAATGTGTTAGACCTAAGCAATAACAAATTATCAGGAGAGGCTATTGAAATTTTCATTGGATACTTGGGTAGAGCGAAGAAATTAGTCACTCTTAATTTATCTTATAATCCAATGACACCAGAAGACGCTTTAAAAGTGCTTAACAAAATGAAATTTAACGCTGTGAAAGTCCAGAATATTTTAATGGAAAATGTATTTGTCGATGGAGAGTTTCTATTATTATTAAAACAAATTAAAAGTATGAAAACGAGAAAAAATACTGTTATAACGTATGGTGGTATTATAGGAGGGTTCGAACCAGAAGGGCCAGATATGAGGGATTTGGTATTAAATCGCATGGAATATTTAACGACGAGGGTCAAGAAACAGAAAGTGGATCTCTCCCTCGTCGTCATGCAGATGGTTAAAGACAATTACGACATAATGCCTGCGAAAGTATTTCAAGATGCCATAGCAGCTACCGAGGCTCCCGTTGACAGTAATTTAATAGACGAAATAATTAATACTTTCCCAGGTCCGAAGACTCCTAAAACAAAAACGATACGTTTAAAACTACTTGTTGATTTTATTAATCGAAAATGGCCTCACAAAAAATTGCCGCCTACTCCCCCGCCAGAGCCCGAACCGGAACCTGAACCGGAACCGGAACCAGAACCCGAACCCAAGAAGAAGGGAAAGGGGAAGAAAAAATAAAGGATATTTAATTTTTATAGCTATTTACTAAAGTTCTTAGATATATTTACATATTTTTGTATCGTATTTATTTTTTAGTTTGTTTTAATGTTAAACAGTTTTAATAAAAATCTACTTACAACGATATTAATTCTTTTTTTTTTACTTTGTCATAAATGAAATTCTTTCATAAAATACGAAAAATTGTCCATTATTAGTCAGAATTTATTAAATTAATAAATTTGTAAAAATAAGTTAAATAGTTATCACTTATCCATTACGGAAAAAGTCTTAAATTTTAATCAGCTTAGAGTTATATATTTATATAAATTAACAAATAAAAATTACATATACAAATAGTTTTTATTAATAATAATTTTTTGGCATACAGAATGAATCACAATTAAATCCAAGCAAGAATAAATAAAAATGACGTTGAGAAAGTACGTCATATATCTTTCATATTTGACGATGCGTTAGGTTTTTTGAATCTTTATTTTGTAATTTACGTTTTGCTTGTATTTGATATTTATATATTTTACCAAAATGTCTTCAGACGAAAATACTTCTGACACCGAAGTTCATGTGGATATACTATATATTCATGAGGTAGATTCCTCACAAGAGCCGCCAATGTCTGAATGGTCTTCCCTTGAATTAAAAAACCCAGAAAACAATATTAAACGACTCCTATATGAAGAAGGAGTGTACCGACCGGACAGTGGGGAGATCTGTGCCAAGTATATACCTCTTTCTGCTAGTTCAATATTAAGACATCCATACTATACGTATCCAGGTGTTACAGATCCTGGTATAATGGAAGCTCTGCTTTTCCCTGAACCTCTAGTCAAGTACCCAGACGATGGCCAACAACTGTACCTTACAATTTGTGATGAAGCAGACATAAGCCCAATACGCAGTTTTTACACTCAATTATTGAATGATCACATATGTTTAAAATACTATGGGATAAATCAGAAAGGATTTAGGGCTATAGCATTGGCTCTCAATTATAATAAGTACGTTACAAAATTAGACCTCACGGATAATTGGATTAACGAGGATGGATGTTTTCATCTAGGTGAAATGCTATTAGAAAACACAACTCTATCGGAACTTAATCTACATGGGTGTAGAATCGGACCCGAAGGAGCAAAGAGACTGTTTGCAAATTTACATATAAATCGTAGCTTGAGTGTGATGAACCTCAGAAAAAACCGCCTCGGAGACATCGGCGTACAATATTTAGCAAAAGCAATTTTGTTTGGTGCCAGTGTAGATAATATTAATTTAAGCTTTAATGATTTAACAGGAAAGGCTGTTATGAGTCTTGTAGAAGCTTTTGAAATAAATAATATATTAACGAAATTAGATTTATCGTGGAACAAAATACTATCGCCAAATTCAATCTTTCAGCTATGTAACATGCTTTCCCAAAACACTTCATTCGAAGAATTAAACTTATCGTGGAACTCATTAAGCGGAGTTCGTATAGGAAATGCTATTAAAAACCTCATGAGTAACAGGAACGTCAAACATGTATATTTGAATAATAACAAGCTGGCTAATGTAGCGATCACTCCGATCGCAAACGGAATATTTATGTATAAAAATCTCATCACTTTGGATCTATCATACAATCCTTTAGGACCCAAAGATGCTTTAATACTATTGTTATGCTTGAAAGATAAAAAAGTGAAACTAAAAAATCTATACTTGGATAATGTATATGTTACAAAAGAATTTCTGAAAATCAGAAAAGAAATTATGTCATTAAATAATCGTAAAAATACAGTTATAACATGGGGAGGTGTTAAATCTCGATTCGTACCAGAACTCGGCGACATGCGAGAGATAGTTTTAAACAGAGCTGATGCATTATGTAAGAAAATGAAGAAACCACGAGTCGATATAGCTTTAGTGATACTACAGATATTTAAGGAAAACAAAGAACCGATACTTGTTAAAGAATTTGGTCGCGCTTTGAGAAGCAATGGAGTATGTTTAGATGAAGATTTACTTCAAGAATTTTCAAACTGCTTTGTTGGGCCCTGTAAAGGGAAATCGAACCGTACTATCAATTTAGTAGAATTGGCAGAATATATGGAAAGAAAATGGCCTGAAAGAAAACTTCCCCCTACACCGACCAATTAAGTAGACAAAACACAATTTAAGATAGGATGATACAGTTTAGTGAATCATGAAGTTTTATAAATAGTATTCTTTTAATATTAGTCGTGTATTTTGTATGAGTATTATTATTTATTTTTAGAAATAATTTATGTTTTGTAAATTAAATGATTATGTTTACCTCGGAGTATATTGTTTTGTGCCGTTTATAGTTCCAGTTGAAAGAGGGAGTGATTAACATCGCGAAGACAAGGCGGGGCACGATATGAGTACCCGTCGCTGTTACAGCATGCATAATGACACGCACAGAGCCGTCATTGAAAGAGTTCTTAGCCGTGATCACTCTATAACTGATTTGCATGCCAATGATGCTAGTACATAAAAACATAGCTATTTTACGACTGTGCTGGCAACGTTTTCATATTTCAAAATGCTACATAAATTCCTTACCGTAGATTTAAGATTAACCACGTGTGAAAAATAACTATAAGTATATCAAACTAGTTGCTTGTTACTCAATTTGTTTAACACGAACTCTTTTTAGGTTATTAACATTTAGGTAGTGTTGTTGTAGTCGCTGTTCGACGATCCCGCTTGTAGTAGCGTGCATCACGCAAGCTGGCCTTGTCTGCTTTATTATTATTTATTGCCCTCTAATAATCCTCTAGATAATACGCTCTGAACGAAATGGCACCGAGGTACATTCCTCAGTTATCTGATATAAGATTATTCGGGATGCTCTAACGGTGAGGGCTTATAAAGTTAAACAACATATACATCCCATAAAGTACCAGGTTTTAAGCCACTTAATATAGCAATCATTCGAAGAGTTATTGTTAAACTTTCCAAAACCCTACTCTACAAGAGCCCGTCTGGTTATAAAGTAATACAAACACAGTGAATACATTTGAAAAATATTAATATGCCAGTGCAAACTGAAAGCGAGTATTTCCGTTGGAGCCGACAGTCAATAGAAAGTTAGCGAGCGTGGGTAGATGCTGATTAGGAATTCGGTGATTGTCGCTTCTTCGCCACATGTCATTGATGCTACTTTTACTTTCAAATATATTGCCAAACGTTTCATATTTAAAGTCGGAGCGGTGGTGTACACTGAGATCAATCATCTTAAAACGTGACTCGGTTCATTAAACACACACTCGTGTCACTTGCATTGATTCAATAACATTAGGTTTTCTCTTACCGCGTTATCGAACTGTCAACATCGAGACGGTCAGAGAAATGCACTAATAGACAGAATGATAAGTTTTGAACATATAGATAATAAATAAATATGCATCATACACTAACAACAAAATTAAATTACATCTTAATAAAAATATAAGTGCCATTATACGTCAAAGTATAGTTAAATCTTATTTTGCGTTTCAATTTAAGAAATCTCGTAAGAAAGATAACTTAAAATCGAAAGTGCGCACGCGATTTTTATATGTAATAAATCAACAAAAATAATCAATGGTCTCTGTACGGTATAAAAGCGAAGGTACAAAAATGAATTCAATTTCTTATCAGATTTAATTTTACGGTGTCCGTATATGTAGTGTGTGGCCAATTTACGAAAACCTTCGGTCCGAAAGAATTTTTCATGAGTAATAAATAAAATTCCGTTGTTTTGGAGCTATACCACAAGTAATTTTTAATTTAAATGCCATCATCAACAGCTCTTTAACACACTGACTAGTCGCTGTAATAGTTTCACTCTTACTTAGCACATTATTATATTAAAGTAATTTTTAATAACTTACGAAAAAACTAGAATTAAGAGATCTATTTTAACGGGTAAACATTTAAAAGAGCAGTGCACGAAGTCCTCTCAATTAGTTAAGAACGAGTACATATCTGATCTGGAGACGTGTTCACGGACGCGTTTTGTAAACATCGATGAGAGCGAAGTAAAGCAATTACAATTTGTTGTTGTAAAATGTACGTTTATGGTATCGGTACAGACACAATAAGATCTGCGGACATTTTTCAATGGCCTTTAAAATCAAAGATCAGTGAAGTCATTTACAAACAATGGCGATAATTCGTACCACCCGTGGCGACACCATGGGCTATGGCTGACTAATGAATTGAGATATTTCACGTCCAACGCTATCGATCACCGCCAATTTCGCGAGCTATGCCAGCAATGAAACTCGTTCGTCCGTCTACGTTCATTTAATATTTTAAATCACCAACTTCTTATATCGTAAAAAATTATATGTATATTCAATTAATTTGCCTTGGGGGTCACAAAGGCCACATTTACTAACCGCCTGTGACTATAAGTTGTAAATAATAACAGAACAGTTACCTATATTTACTCTATCTTTAGTACACAAACAATAAACACGAGTGTTAAGTGTTTGCCCTTATCATTGAAGTATACTTCCTTAGGGCACCGCAAATAGTGATTAGTGGGCGGCCATCAGAAATAGCGAAGAGAATATATCACAGAGAAATGATTAACACATTGTTGGCCCCTTCATATTTATTTGCCAAGAGTAATTGCTTTCCATGTCCATGAATAGATGAACCTGTAGGCCTCGACTGTGAGTCTGACCCCTTCCTCATAAATAATATAAAAAGTACTTTACTAACTCGTAATTCCTCTGAGTAATACTTATTATATATTCGCATTGCTCTAATCATTATTTATAAAAATCAATTCCTGTTGTTTCTAGTTTATACGATCTGTACAATAACTGTAAGCCGAGCTGTCATTAAGAACTTGTTCTTCAATATTTGTGGAGTCTCCATTGACCTGATTTAATCAGCACTTTAAATATTTATTTAAGACGAACCCATCGCTTACATAAAGAGTTTAAAATAAAACCGCGGCGTGTTGTTTTGAAAATTAGTCAATAATTCTTTTGATCACTACGAATACTTTTAAAATTATTTAGTTTATACGAGAGATGTTCATTCGATCGATTCCATTACCGGCGATTGCGTATCGGCTGACGCTTAGGACGAGCGTGAGTACAATACAAAGACGCCGACGATTCTAATACAGGATTAGACTAGAGACACCATGATTTATAATAACGGGCTTAAAGAGAAATAACGTTCATATTTAAATACTGTTTCTAACACATATTTGAATTTATATCCGTGTAATCTAATAATTGATACTGTAACTTTACTTTGATTATAAAATAGATGCTTACATAACTCAATCCTGTCTCGTCTCTCCATTCTTTGATGGTCACCCTCAATCCATCACAGCTTCAAGACATTCGTCCACTCCCACGGTCTGTGTTTCTAGTGTAATTTCCAACTCGGAACATTAGAACTCATAACAAACACTTGCAAAATCATATTACTTGCATGTAGAAATACTCCATTAACTACCGTACATACATACATTAAATCGTGACATATTTCTATGTTTTTAAATGTCACAGTTGGAAGATATAAACATTCAAATTTAATACCATTGTTGTAAGGGATTTTTTTATGCGTTCCGTGTTACGCAAAGGCAGGTGAACGCCAAATGTCAGATGTCTTCGCGTGCGCTACTATTGTTTGTTTTTAATTCCATCGCTATACTTGAACTGTCTGGTAATTGTAATTAGCTATTGGTATTCTGTTCCATATAGCACATATATTGCAATTGAATAAACTGAAAATGATGTAGTATAGTTGATATGCTAGCCTTTTTAGGTATCACTTATACTTAGCTTGAAATAATCAAGGGATGGTTTTATAGTCGCTTTCTGTTTCAATAATACATGTAAATATAGATATGAATTAAAATATATTTTTTTTAATAATTTAAGGTATTACATACAATAGCGTGTATTAAATTAAGAGAAGAGATAATTTCCGCGCATTCCCACGCGGTTACCAATGCCCGATTGACAAACATCTGCATTGAACAAGTGTCTAGAGTTCATGGTCCGAATAAATGGTCAAACAATCGACTTATAGAAACAATAAGTATATATGCCATAACCAAATAATACTGTCACGTCTACATTTTAAGACAGAGACAGTATTCTGTATATGGAACATTATTATTTAAAGCGAATATTTTATCCAAACGATATTATATCTTACATGATCTTTTCTATGGGGGTAGTCGAGAGACGTTTATCAACGCCATCTATATTGCATGCAGTAGTACCTTCCCTGCAAGATGAAGTCTGCAATCACCGAATGATTTAGATTCTGAGCTATTTGTGCACGGGGTTAACGTTCCTAATACTTAACAACGACCAAGCAGAAATAAACATTAATACCTTAAGATAAAGTCTATTATCATTATATGATGTAAATCAAAATGATACAAGTTTTAAAGTGGTCTACGCAATTCTGAAACTACTTCCTTAATGTTGACATAAAACTAACGTCGGTCGGCAAAAAATAGACATAAGTGATTTAGCGAAAGTTTATTTTGGTCTCTCTATGTACATATGTACGTAATTCGTTAAACTCTATAACATTACAATGTCTCACGATTTATTGGTATCCCTCAATAGTACAAATACATTACAGATAAAATGATTCAACATTTTTTGAGGCATAACCTTTCACAATGGACACCAATCCGGTCTTTAAAGGCGTAATAGTACAATAATGGAAGATTCGATGGAACCACAACAAAAAAATCCGAAAATGGATAAATTTCAATCAAAGAACCTGTAATTACAGACAGCAATCGGATATCCAATAACATTTAATGCCTACAACATTCCACAGTTAATTGTCTCCGACTTAGTTGGGATAAGGGCATTCTAACCCTTAGCGTCTAATGGTACGTCGAATCAGGTTGGATTAGACACGGGCTGGACTCTTATTAGTTATCCTTCCGGGGGTTATAGAACCCACGGGATATGAATTGTAAGTAGCCAAGGAGGAAAAAATGTTCTAACAATTAGAATATAATTTTATGGGTATCTTATGTTTGTAGGAAGGTTCGGATGAGAAATATCACCGTGAAATATTGTCGTAATTTAACATATTTGTCATGATTTTAATATTTAAGTGTTTTTTTATTTATCTTCTAAACTATAAATCTT